GGGCACAGCTGCAGCTTTTGCTGGCTCCTGCTCTGTGCACTCAGCAGCTCCAGCCTTAAAGTGGCTGTGGCACAAAATGGTCAGAGAGGTTTTTTCTTTCTCATTGTGGCTTCTCCCACCTTCATGCACTCTGTAGGTCTCTCCTCCTCTTCCCCTGAGCTCTAGCGGCCCCATCTTGGCTGACATTGCTTTTTTATAGTTGTAAATTGGTTGATTTGTGGAAGAGAATGATGCTTGGGACCGTCTATTCTGCCATCTTGACCAGAAGCCTCCAGTTTATTCTGAGAGAAGGAGAAAGTGTCCCATCACCCTCTCCCACCACCTCTTGCCCCAATTCATGAACCTGTACCTCTGGCTACACAAACCTGATTTACTGAACTGATGAAAGGCAGAGAAGCCAGAACATGGAACAGACGCCTGGCCGGGCCTGCCATAGGAGGCACAACATGGTCTTTTAACTGCATGAAGATGGAAACACGGGCAAGAGAGCCACAGGGAATGCCTGTGTCACTTTTGAGGCACTCGCCCATTTCAAACCCTGATAAATTTGTTTACTCCCATGCAAAAGGGGAAGCTTCCCTTCTGGAAGTCTTGACAGAGTGGAAGAAGATGATATGCAAGACTGGGAAAAAGAAGAGGAGCCCCCCTAGCAGAGAGTGGGTAGAAGAGATGATGGGAGAGGCAAGTATGCTCAAGAAATGATGGCTGGATAGATGTTGAGTGAGAGGACCCGTATGCATAGACCCAAGCTCCTTGGATGGATGCGGCAATTCAGCTCCTGTATAAGAACATCATCACCAGGAGAAAAAACTGAGTCTAGCCCTGTGTTCACTGAAACGGCTGAGTAAGAGAAGAGGAATAAGACCATCTGCTACTATGAGTCTCTGGACTTTATTTTTCAGATACCAAGAACAATTTGTCTATTCCCTAAGATTTTTAAATGGCCACAGATAGTAAAGAATATGAGTACACCTAAATGGATAGTTTTAATAAATTCTGGCTTGCTGAGGGAGAGTTCATGAAGGTGGGAGGGACTCAGAGGAGAAACTCTGCCAGGAGCCAGCAGCAGCTCAGCGGACACTCTCTGCCCTGAAGCCAGGAGGGTGCCGAGCCTGGGGCCTGGCTGTTCGTGAAGCCACATCAGCCCCCTCCATGGCTGTACCCATCCCTCTGGCTTCCAGGACAATCAGCAGTCAACGAGAAGACTCCAGAGCAATGACTCTC